GGCTGATTTTTGTTAAACAAATTTTGGCTGCTGAAGACAATTTTTCAATTGTGTTTTGATAAACAGCTTTGTGAAATCAATAAAACTGGATGGTTTAAGCATTGTCTTGTATACATTGCTTGATTGTAAAATCAATTGACAAATGAAAGTTGTGAGTCACTCAGTGGAGGCTCCACAAAGACAACTAAAAATGATTTGTATGAACCTATCCAAACTAGTTCTTTAAAAATCAAGTTTGTCTTTCAAGATAAAATTTATGATGAATATACTGTGAATTCTAGATAGTTTGAATCAAACATAAATGAAAGCCTCCAGAGACAAAATATCTACTAAATTGAGCTGCATGTAGCAAAAAAAAACTGCAAAGACTAGAATGTTTGGCAAATAGAGTATTGTAATTAATATAATTTTCTGTTTTTTGTAGGATCATGTTTTGTTGCCGAGAAATATTTCTAAACACACTTATTCCAATTTTCCATTTTAAGAAAGTATATACAAAACTTAGCTGATCATTTATTGAGCAACAGCAACTTTTTTTTTAGTTGAGGGTCATTTTCTGAGTACCAGTTATAATTGTTCTGATATCAATTAAATGAATTCTTGCATTGTAGGATAGTGTATGTTCATTATAAGAAGTTTAAACGAAATCCGAAGTATTTGTACTATACAAATATCTAAATGAATATTGACAGTGAGAAAAACTTACCATTAATTTATAACTATCCAGATTCAAATAATACTGTATAATATTATATTATTATATAGGATATATTCTGGTATACTTTTTTTATATATGTATAATGGGAATTATGCAAAAATACCTACATATTGCAGTTATAGTATAGATACATCTCTCAAAAGTTGTTTAAGTTTCTATAGAAAAGGTCAGAATACACCAAATATTTTGAAAACAATTTCATTTATGTTATTACATATTGAATTTTATATTAAAGTATGAGTATGATTTCCAATTGAAAGAAACAATACAAAATAAGTGATACATAGATTGCAATGTGTTACTGGGTATACTTTAAAAATGGTGAAGCAAGTTTATTAATGGATGCCATATTACCCTATAATTAATTATATTAAAATATGTTCATCCTCATTGGAATTTGAGATAATTAAAATCTGTGTTTCATAAACGCATATAATAATACCTCTTCTTAACAGTCATTTTATAATTTTGTAAAGATTTTATATAAATTTACATGGAACAATAAAATGAAGATCATGGATTAAGGTTTTTCCAAAAGGGACTTTAATATATAATGAAAAATATCTTGGACTTTGATCTTAATTTATCAGGAATATGCACATGAATAAATTTTGTTTGTTCTCCTGCATATGTTGAATATTATTGTAGTTACCAACATAAATTCATTTCTTCCTGTGTGTTTGTTTTAATAATAAGAGAACATTCCACAGAGCCAATAAGATGTTATGATTAGGAATGATACTGTAATTTCTTTATAAATTGAGCAAATTCAGCCAAACCAAGTAAAACAGTTAAAATTTTTCAAAGTCAAAAGCATATAACTCAACCAGAATTTAATCCTTTCTGTGTGTAACGTTTTAGCAGGTGAGTCCAATATTCATCATTATCTTGATCATATTGATAATATGACAATGTAAAATATCTATTGCTTGAAAATCCTACTCCCTTTTAGCTCAGTTCTCATCCATCTCTAAGATGTGTCACTCATTCTTGTGGTCCAAGAGGATGGCTCATGTTTTAGCCATGACATCTGCATTTCTGGCATCAGGCTGGAAGACATTACGAAGAAGAAACCAGGCAAAATCAGGCTTCAGCCATGTTTGAAATCAAGCTCTGGGAAGGTGTCATACAACATGTCAGAACTTAGTCCATTGACCAAACTTACCTCTAAGGGGTTCAGATAAATACAATCTTCATTTTGGGTGACCACATATCCAAGTAAAAATTGTGTAGTCTGTTACAATGAAGGAAGAGTAAAATGGATATTAAAGATTCTAGAGGTCTTTCCCATAGTATCCATCCACATCACTCTACAAAATCTGCATTCTCAAATCCAGTGAATGAATTCCAGTGTGACGTATGAGGGGCTTGGAGGGAGCAGGGGAGTACTAGCATGGAGGTTATAAGGTGATAGGACCCTGGAGAGAGAGGAAGTGATTTTTAAGATTTATTTAATGTAGGATTTAGAGAGAAATGGTCTGAAGATTGTTTCAGTGCTACTCTAACAATGTACCACAGAGTGGGTGGCTTAAAACAATAGTGGTTTATTCTCTCACCATTCCGGAGGTTAGAAGTCCAAAATCAAGGTGACAGCAGGCTCGTTCTGCCTCTGAAACTCAAGGTAGAATTTTTCCTTCCCTCTCTCTAGCTTCTAATGGTGACCATCAATCTTTAGCATTCCTTGGCCTTTAGCAACATTGCTGTACCCTTTGCGTTTCTGCTCATGGGGCTTTCTTCTCTGGTTGTCTTTGTGTGCACATGGTATTTTCCTCTTTTTATAGCAGGGCTGTCCAATCTTTTGTCTTCCATGGGCCATACTGAAAAAAGAATTGTCTTGGGTCACACATAAAATACACTAACATTAATGATAGATGATACAAAAAATATAATGTTTTAAGAAAGTTTAGGAATTTGTGTTGAGCCACATTCAAAGTCATCCTGGGCTGCCCTGTGGCCTGATCGCTGTGGGTTGAACAAACTTGCCTTATAGAGACATCATTATGTTGAATTAATTACCACCCTAATGACCTCATCTTAATTTGGTTTACATCTAGGAAGACCTGTTTCCAAATAAGGTCACATTCCTAGATAATGGGATTTAGGACTTCATGTGTCTTTTAAGGACACACTGGTAACAGAGTACTTTTAGAAAATATATTGTTGGTCTACTTTAGAAATCCAGACTTTAAAAGTTTGTGTTTTTGTTTTTATAATGAGTTTCTGTTACGGTTACAGACGTATACTATTTTTAAAGATTTTTGGATTAAAATCTTTGTTATTTTTGATGTGTTCATAAGCAAAACAGCCTTTAAGGTAGTCCTAATGATTAGGCTATACCCATCTAGATGTGTTTTCTTTCCACTGCAGGAATTCATTCCTTTGAAAACAACATCAGGCATCATTTCTTTTTTACTTCTGTGTATATAAGACACGGCTGTATACATTACCTTATTACTAAGCTGTGTTCCTAGTGTGTTTGCAATCTACACTTTGTATCTTGCCTTAAATTTCCGAACCATTTAACACTATATACCATTATTAAAAGATTTATAATTTATTTTTTAGTCTACTTAGGATTAGAGTCAGTACATTAAGTGGTAAATATTGTGTTCTGTCAGGTATATAAACCGTGAGAATAATAGCTAAAAATCTGGCTTCTGGAAGTCACACAATTTTTTTTTTTTTTTTTGCAACAGAGTCTCACTCTGTTGCCCAGGCTGGAGTGCAGTGTCATGATCTTGGCTGATAGCAACCTCCACCTCCTGGGTTCAAGTGATTCTCCTGCCTCAGTCTCCTGAGTAGCTGGGATTACAGGCATGAAACACCACATCCAGATAATCTTTGTCTTCTTTACTAAGAGACAGGGTTTCTCCATGTTGGCCAGATTGGGAACACCTGACCTCAGGTAATTCACCTGCCTCAGCCTCCCAAATTGCTGGGATTACAGATGTGAGCCACCATGCCCAGCCACAAAATTAAAAAGTCAAAAGAAAACAAAAAACTTTTGTAAACTTATGTGCTCACATAGGAACAGAACTTGGCGGACAGATTATTTACTATCAATTTGCCAGGAAACTCAGTGTACCTCAGAAACTCATGAATATATACAGTGATATTTCAGGTGATAACAACAAAACTTGTATTTTTTATATATCTTGTTTATAGTTTACAAATATTTCAATTTAGACCTAGAGACAGAAATACCATTTAACCTAGCAATCCCGTTACTGTCTATCTACTTAAAGGAATATAAATAATTTTATTATAAAGACAGATGCACGTTGTATGCTCATTACAGCACTGTTCACAATAGAAAAGACATGGAATCAACCTAAATGCCCATCAGTAATAGACTGGAAAAACAATATGTGGTACATATATACCATAGAATACTATGCAACCATAAAAAATGGTGAAATCATGTCCTTTACAAAGACGTGGATGGAGCTAGAAGCCATTATCATTAGCAAACTAAAGCAGGAACAGAAAACCAAATACTACATATTCTCACTTATAAGTGGGAGCTAAATGATGAGAATGCATGGGCACATGGAGGAGAAAAACATACCGTGGGGCCCACTGGAGAATGGAAGCTGAAAGAAGGGAGAGGACAAGGAAAAATAACTAATGGGTTCTAGCCTCAGTAGCTGGGTGATGAAATAATCTGTGTGAATAACCCCAATGCCACAAGTCTATCTATGTAAACAAACTTGCACATTTACCTCTGAACTTAAAAGTTAAAACATAATAAAAGTAAAGTGTGTTTGAGGTCTTGTAGGTACAAATTTATGTAAAAAATTTACTCAGCTAGAACACCTTATACAATAAATACAATTTTTAAGTAAAACTGTTACTTTCACTATCTTTTGATGTTGATTCATTTTCATTTGTAGAATTGCCCAGTTAGAGAATAAATTATATGTCCTAAAAAAAAAAAAAACAAACAAAAAACAAACAAACAAACAAAAACCACGTTTAAATAAAAGTAAATGTATTTACATGCTTCATATGGTCATTACAAATGGGATTAAGTTTATCTCCTTGCTATTTATTTCTGTGGAATCTATGCCTTCCTCCTCTCTGTGATTAGCACATGTAATTTGGGAATATAAAAGTGAAAATATTTATCAGTATGTGGGTCTATGACTCTTAATGACAATCAAAATATTTGTATTCAGAGAACTGGGATAGGCTTGTGGAATAGAGTTCTGAAGAAGGTATTATCATTGTGCATATCATATAAAGGTTATATAATTTCACGTGTATCTTCTTGTCTTTGCAGTGTGCGCGGGAACTGAAAATAAACTGAGCTCTCTGTCTGACCTGGAACAGCAGTACCGAGCCTTGCGCAAGTACTATGAAAACTGTGAGGTCGTCATGGGCAACCTGGAGATAACCAGCATTGAGCACAACCGGGACCTCTCTTTCCTGCGGGTAAAACTATGGCTTTCTTTCTGTTCTTTGTGGTTGGACATTGGTGTCATGATGCATACAGGTAGATCTGCATGCTGATACCTGGAAGCTGTGCTATTCTGCCTGCCAGGCACTGTGACTGTAGGGAGGAGATAAGAGATAGTGAAACACACCCAGGAAAAGAACAAGAGTTTGGCTTTGTTAAGCCATAATGACTGACGCTTTTGAGTTTAGAGCAGTTGCTGTTGACTTAACAATTGATAAAAAAATTCTGTCATCGTGTAGTACATGACATCTGGCAAATCTTTTTCTGAGAAGCTGTGAACTAGGAGAATCAGAGGAGCAATCAGATAAGAATTGATAACTTTAGCCAGTCATCTCCATTTCTGCCTCTTTTCTGCCACTTTTGACTTTGAGTATTTTATATTACATAAGGAGACTAAGGCTATTAC